TGATAGCAAGTCATAAGGAGAGATGAAACATTTCAAATATGAGAAAAGTCGTGACCGAGTGTATTCAAAGACGCTTTCTACAGTTCCATGAGAGATGCCCGATACTTTGCATTTAACTTCGGTCATCCACGGAAGAACAAAGGCCTGAGAGATTTGGATCGGCCTTCTGATATAAACATGCTTGAGGAAAAGTCCGAAATCGGGACCAGGATAAACATTTTCGAGACCTACTTAAAATTGTGTACTGTTTGATTGATTGTGTAGTTTAATATAACACATAATTGACAAAAATATTAGAATGTATACCAAAGCGTCATCTTTTGGTAAAAAAATAGTAACATCATACAAAACCACAGAGTGATATTTTATTTGACATGTGTTAAGAAAATATGTCTGACAGATTTGCAACAATTGGTTTTAAACGGGACCAAGATCGGGACAGAAAAAACTTCGTCCCACCAGCCCCTACTTTTATAGCGTCCAGTTTGGTGCGTAATAGTTGCTTTACAAACAAATCTTGTCGAAGATTTGATATTGATCTGTTGTAGCGGATGATTTATTGACATTCTTTCTGCTAATTTTATCTCGAACATAAAATAGATTAATATCAGCAAAATCGCGACAATATTTTTGAGACGAGGTCATCGTTTTCACTTAAGTTCAATTTCATTGAACGTATATTCAATCCTATAGAAACATCATTCAATCAACCAAAACTGTCTTCATCTGCTTGCTGGGATCCTCATACCGTCACACTTACAACTGATGTGGAAGTCGAATTTGTACCAGTCAGGATCTTCGTTGATAGAAAAAATACTATTTACGTCACTGATATTTACAATGAAGCTGTCCACGTATGGCGTCAAGACACTAACGCCACGATGAAGACTACCATCAAAACAAGTTTTAAACCTTTTTATTCGTTCACTGATAATGATGGATACATTTTTACTAGTATTTCAGAAGGATCAGTAATGAAATGGTCATTAAATACAGTAGAAGCTGTTATAGTGATTAGAACGGAAAGTGAGTGCTTCGGACTATCCATTGATATAAAGAACAATCTTTACTGCTCTTTATCGATTGAACATCGAGTTGTGCGACAGACCCTGGATGTGGATTCGAGTACACCAATTACTGTGGCGGGCACTGGTAAAGCTGCATCGACTTCTGATGCACTGTATAATCCTAGAGGGATTTTTCTATCCATCAATTTGGATTTATACGTGGCAGATTGTTCGAATAATCGAGTTCAACTCTTTGAACATGGACAAAAGAATGGAGTGACGGTAGCGGGAAAAGATAAACTACTAAGCATTACACTCTCATGTCCAACAAGTGTCTTTCTGGATGAGAATAATAACATATTCATCCTTGATTCCGGCAATGGCCGTATTATGCGATCGACTTCTCAAGGATTTGATTGCGTGGTCGGATGTTCAGCCATCACTGGTTCAGCATCACATCAGATGCACGGCCCGCTAGAGGCCGTTTTCGATACCTTCGGCAATATATTCATCGCTGACTTTGGTAATGATCGCATTCAAAAATTTCAGCTTACAAAAAATATTTCTGGTAAGTTAAATAAACAATGAATTGTATCAAAAAACAAATTACTTTGAAATCTAATCTCAGATTATAACTTAAAGTAAAAACTAAATACACACTTATCTCATTGAATTTTTTTACTATGAACATGATTTTCCATCCACTTCAGAAGTGATGTACATAGAAAAATTGAAATCATTGGAAAATAGAGAATACCTCCATATTATTTTGGTCTCTTGAACAGATTAGTTTAATACATTTATTAACTTGATCAATGAATTCATATCGCAAAAATTAGTTTTCCATTTTTCATAAAAAAAGAACTCTATCAAAAGTGAATAGAATTCACAATGAATAAGAATATGAGAACAGATCCCAAATAGGAATGAACATAATTTTCTCCGATAAACAAATAGTGAATGTGATGAGAAATCCTATTAGAAGTTCCAATTTCAACAATGAATATTTTGCGTTAAAGAGAAATCAAATAAAATAGAGATTATCAAGAATATTCCATCAAGTTACAATAGGACTCTTAGATTGCTAATATTAAATCAGAAGAAATTGTGGTGAAGATACATCCAATATGGATTTGAAAAGAGAATGAAATGCTGACTCTGAGAGATGAGTCTTAATGTATATATAAACTTCTATATAGGTGAATGATTAATAAATATCTAGTACGAAATCTTTCACAACGGGACTAAAAGCGCTACTAAAAATGTTTATATGGTATTGAGAGATTTCCAAATCTCTTATTTGCTTAACTAAAATCTTTCTAATTCCCCAGTAAATACACTTTAATGCTGTCTCTAAAATGAGCATTGTTCCCCATAAAGATGGATGTAAATGAATCAGTCGACTGTGGAAAGAATGATTCCTTCCACAGAAGATATTCTTCGGAGCTAATCTGAAAAAAGTTTTTTTTCTGAGAATTGAAACGAAAACTGAAATCTTTTCTCTTACACAGAACAGTTAATGAATGAAACTACCTTAGTGAAGGTCCTCATCATAGAAAATGTCACGAGTACTTCCACACATGCTTCCCAATCACTTTTGAAAGTGGTGGGGCTAAAATTTTGTCAGAAATAGGGAAAAGAAATCACAGGCTTTCTCTCAGAAACACTTATGAAAGGTCATTGAGTTTTTAGCAGAAATAGTAAAAAAGCCATAGACTTTCTTTTAAAAACTCTATTTAATTAGAATTTGACATAATCTGTGGTAATTCACGGCAAAAAAGTGTAATTTCAGTATAGTTTCATACATTTACACTATGATCGAAAATTGTAAGCGTCATAAGCGTTAAAAAAATTGACACAAACAACTTTATTTTGAAGGAGGGGTAGTTAAACCTCTGCCAGCTCCTTCCTCCTAGTCAGAAAGCATAGTTGCGCTTAATAGTACTTTAAGGGTAAATGCAATGACCGAACATTTTCCTGCAGACAGTAGTCTTGAAGTTTTTCATCGTTCCATTTCATATGCTATGAAGAATGGGGCAGACCTTCGTCAGTAATGAAGAGATAGTTTAGAAAAGATTTAAATATTTTATCTTCGGTACTCATTAGATTCTTTGAGTATTTATGTTGATAATTTATCCTCTTTTGATGCATATTTTCATTCGAGTATTTTATCGATTTAAGTAGAAAGTTAGAAGTTTAGATTAAGCGTATTTCCCTTTCTCCGTTAGCTCCAGATTCAAACATTTTATAACTGGATTGCGATTTGACAACAGATCCGACAACTTTACAAAATCAATACATAGAAATAAATTTGGAGAAAGTAAATTTTATCCTTTTGAAGGAATGAATATTTTGCCTGGAAGACTCAGATGAGATTTGTGTTAAATGAAGACATTCGATCAATTTATGATGAGTTTTTTCTATATAGAATCTTTATTGAATGAACTGATAAACTTGTTCTTTGTCATTCGAGAAAAGTCACCTGGTGATCTAATACTTTTATTTTCTTTTACTTGTTTGATATTTAATTCGCATTCATTAATTTCATGAAAAACTTCATGTCGTTCGTATTTGTTTGTCGAAAAAATATGAAATTCAATAAAGTGATAAATGACTAACAATAGATGAAGCAGTTCTTTCAGTTAAATCATCTAAGAAATGATCTATGATTATTCATTAGTTTAATATTTTATAGAAAATCCATCTAAAGTGCAATCGTTTTACTTATCTACGTTGACAATAAACAGTTCAATATATTCACGTACGCCTTGCGATGAACTTCACTTTTCTTATGAAAGTATTCAACTGAATATTATTGAGAATGGATGTTATGATTTCTGGGCCAACAGTAGTATCAATATGTATTATTCTATTCATACGGATAAATTTGATCCATCAAATCATATGGAAGATACTATGTGGGTTAGGAGAGAAAAAAAGAAAGAAAAAGAACGACAAACAGCTGATTACCCTTTACAACAGCGTTAGCGAAAAAGGGCCATCTGTAGATGAGTAAGTAACTAGCATACATGTACA